TTCCAGGCAGCCACTTGGACCGCTAAGCTATCTCCCCAACCCAAGGCCATCTCTCTTAAGCATTTTTTAAAAAAAATAGAACACAAAGTATTTGTTCCAAAAAGAGATGTACTATTGAAGAAGTACAAATGGGTTTTTTTTGGCGGAACCAGAGGTTGAACTCAGGCCCTTGCGCTTGCCAGGCAAGCACTTATTCTACTGAGGCCTCTCCCCAGGCTAGGCTGAGTATTTTTTTTCTTTCCAAATTCTTAAGGACAAAATAAAGACTGGAAAATCTTTTAGTGAAAGTGTTTGCATAAAAATATACAGGCATTGGAATGAATGGATAAAGAAGATGTGGGGTTTTGATACAGTGGAGTACTATTCAGACATAAAGAAGGATAAGCTTGAGACATTTCTAGCTAAGTGCGTGCACCTAGAGACCATACTCCTAAGTGAAATAAATCATCACATGTGTAAATAGTACGTTGTTTCTCTGGAGTGAGAAACCAAAAGTGTAAATAACCAAAATGTACAATAGGGTGGGTTTTTTTTTTTTGTTTTTTGGTTTTTTGGCAGATTGAACTCAGGCCCTTGTGCTTGCCAGGCAACTGAGCTATTTCCCCAACCCTACAATAGACATTTGAAATAGGAAGAAAATGTTCAGAGGGGAGGGGGAGGTAGGGAGGGAGGAGGAAGGAAGGAAAAATGAGAAGGACAACATGTAAACAAAGCATTACGTTCATGTCTAGATGTCCCCAGAACCTCACGCGGTCATGGGGTGGGCGCTGAATCTCGAGCATATGACTGATTCGTGGTGCGGTGCTACAGTTAAAGGTGTGAGCGCTACACCAGTCGCTCTAAGCACAGTGTAGGGGACAGGAAGCGCTTGTCCCTGCACTCTCTCCCTTGGTGTGTGGCTACAGTCCGCTCATCCGTCCGCCCGCTCATCCGTTCCTCTGTCTGTCGTGAGCTGGTCTGTGTGATGCCTGCCGTCGAGCCACCGTGCACCGCAGCTAGCCACAGACCGAAACGTCCGCACCTGCGGCTAAGCAAGCCTTTCCTCCCTCAGCTTTGCTGCTGGGTACGGCGTCTCAGTATGGAGCAAAGCGAAACCCAGACACAAAGCTGTGTAAATAAGGAGAGGGTGGAAGGGCGGGGAGGGGAATGGGAATAAAAGAAGATACGGCCCGTGCAGGTTCAGATTCCCCAGCATGAGTGGCCGCTACGAGTATCTAAATGTGCCAGTGAACTTCATTAATAGAAGTAGGGGCACTGCGGGAGTACGCAGCGAGACGCGCCGTGACCTGCTAAATCTTACAGAGCATCAGGCAGGCACTTCAGGCGGCCACGGTCAGCACATGTTGGTGTGAGTAACGGCGCCAGGGCACATTTTCTCTAATTGGGGCCGTGTGGCACCTGTGATCACTGCGCTGCGCACACACACACACACACACGTAAACAAATACAAGAACGCATTTTCTCTCCTTACTGCTTTCTAGTGGATCCCCTTGTATGTACACCATCTCACCATTCTGAGTAGAACCTAAGTCTTTGGGACATAGCACCAGAGGCGGGGAGAGTGATCTTTGCAGAAGTTTCCACAGTAAAAGCTTGAAAAGAACCAAAGTGTTCTCTCTAAGTGTTTTAATGCGGGGACCACGGCCCAACTTCAGCACCCAAGGGCTGCAGCGCCCTCCCCGCCGCTGCAGGCCACGTTTGAGAGCTGTATGCGTGGCTTTTGCACCATACAGTTGAGGGAATCACAAGAAAATAATGTGATAAGGCGTGGTGGGCACACCTGCAACCCCAGGACTCAGGAGGCTGAGGCGGGAGGATCGCTACCAGCCGATGCCAGCCTGGCTGCAAAAACACAGCCGGAGGGCAAGGCGAGCACGCAGCATGTGACCAACACAGGTCCCTGTTCCCTCTACACGCAGGTTGCACCACTCTGACAAGAACGTGTGGCTTTAGGGTACAACAGATCAGGTGGGATTTTTATCGTGCTTGAATTTAGGAATGAAAGTTGCCCAGGACATGGTTAACCTGAAGCGAAGACAGTGTGGCACCTTTCGCTAACGCTAGCAGCCTACCTCCATGAGCTCCCGCATCCACCCAGCCGGCCACTCATTTTTTTTAGTACCGATTGAACCCAGGCCTTTGCACTAAGCTACACGCCCGCCCTTTTAAAATTTCATTTGTTTTTGTTGTGAGACAGGGTCTCTCAGCCTCTAGGCTGCCCTGCCTGGGCTGGAACTTGAAATCCTCCTGCCTCAGCCTCCCAAAGTGCGGCAGTGCAGGCACACCACGAGGCAATGGCCCTTCGCAGACTCCCGCTGGTCTCCACCCCCCTGGAAGGAGGCCCTGGGTTTCCCTCCTTCCTGTCCTCCCCATCGTGAGCTCGGCCACTCTAGGCCGCCCTGTCCCATTCCATGCCCCTCCCCACACCGAGAGGACACCGCGCCCACAGGCGCCTGCGACTCCCAAGTGCTGCGGCTCAGGCGCCAGGACAACGCCGGGTTTCTCTCCAGGAGGAGGCAGGGGGCTCTAGCTGAAGCCCCGGAAGGGGTCCCGGTGCCTGCCACACCCGGCAGGGCTGGGGTCATTATGTGTGGACAAATAAACTTTTTTTTTTAATTTAAAAATAACAAGATGCATTAGAAATCTGTTTCTCGCTGGGGAGATAGCTCAGGGGCATAAGCTCCTGCCTGGAAAGCACAAGGTCTAGAGTTCGACCCCGGTATCAAAAAAGCAACTCTGTTTCTCTAAGTTCACTGTACTGAAACTTCTTAAGTTCTCTGGAGCCGAGGCCAAGGCCCAGGCCTAGCAAAGTCAGCGCGGGGCGGCCTCTCCCTGAGGCTGGAACACAGCGGTAGTGACAAGGGGGGCGGGTAACGAGTGACAGTAATAATCTGGCACCCCGCACCTGGCGCCATCCCTGCGCGGGCTGCACTTCAGCCTCACAGGGCACAGAGCCCAGGGAGGAGCCACCCAAGAGGATTTGAGCGCCACTGGAGCCCGGAAGTCGCGAGCCCAGGGTGGTCCTGGGAACCAGACTGTCCCCGAACTTGTTCACCGCTGGCAACCCGTCCTGGATCCTGGAGGGCTGGGCTTTCCTGTACAACACATTTCTACTGTGGTGCAGAGCTGGAATCTTCACTACTTGGAGGCTGAGGCAGAACCATCTCAAGTTTGAGGCCCGTGGGGGCAAGTTAGTGAGATCCATGAGGAGGCTAAAAATAGGAGGATCACTACAAGTCCAAGCTGCACAGTAAGACCCTGTACCAAATACATAAATGGAAAAAATTAAAAGAAAAAAAATAGTGAGATCCTGTCTCAAGAAATAAGATGTGAAATAAAAGGGCTGGATGTAATACAGCACTTGTCTAGCATGAGCCAGGGTCTGGGCTCAAAACAATAGCAGTTACGTGAAGTAAAACTCCGAGGCAGAAGTAGGCAGAGGAAGAGGCAAAACGTGGCCGCGACCTTCAGAGGGCATGGGCCACTCGCTGTGCGAGTTTTCATGCACACACACTAGTGTGGCCGGAAAGACCTGGAACTCTCAGTATCCTGAGTGTGACTAGAGTTTCCTTTGTAAATACTAGGAGTGGTGACAGATCCCTCCTGCCCTGACTGCGGCAGCCTATTCATGGCTGGGCACAGTGCACACCTGTGAACCCAGCTCTCAGGAGGCTGAGGCAGGAGGACCGCTCTCAATTCCAGGCAGCCTGGGCTACATAGCGTGACCCCCCCTAAAGGCGTGCATGTGGGCCACATTGGCTATGCTGCTGCTAGCTCTAGTGACCAGGCAGGTAGGTATAAGGTCACCTGCCTCAGCCTTCAGAGCACACCTGCAGTAAGCACTGTCACCACTGTCAGGGCAGAAGAAACGGAAACTGAGGAGGTCTGTAAATCACTCATCAGGCCTGCAGTCCAGGGAGCTGGGTTCTAACTCAGCTGCCGGTGAGCTGGCGGGTGCAGGAGTCCAGAGAGTGTCGGGCCTGTGCGCCATCCAGGGGCACTGAGGTCACAGGGAGGGAAGGGCAGCTTAGAGACACGTTTCCCTACTTTTGGGGGTTGGTGGTGGTAGTTGGTTAGTTGGTTTAGTGAAGAATACTTCCAAGTGTTTTGGTGGCCAGCCTGGTGTGCCCGGGCAGGGTTCTGGAGCGGCACAGCAGGTGGTACCAGGGATCAAATCCAGGTCCTTGAGCTTGCCAGCCAGGTGCTTAGACACTGAGCTATCTCCCCAGCCCCACTTCCAAATGTTTTAAACTAATAGGTTTGATTATCAAACTATCATTCTGGATTTCTCTCCTCGGCAATGAAGTATTATCATTTTTTTTTTTTTTTTTTTTTTTTTTTTTTGGTTGCAACATTTTATTTCATCTTAGAAAAGAATTTTAAATGTTAGGTAACTTGTTAAATATTTTCTCTAACAGTTAAACAAAGGTCGGGCTCTGCTGTAGAGCCCTGGGTTCATCCTTTGGCATCACAAAAAAGGGAACGGTTGCAAAAATGATTTCAAATGGCTCTAATTTTGTGTTAGCCTTACTCTCTGATGATACTGCCAAGTAGAAAAGGTCATTTTATGATCCATACGTGAAGAGATAGTAAGTTGGGGGAGTATTGTGTTGTGAAAGAGAAAGTTCCATTTCAAATAACATCAAGTTATCAGATACAACCCTAAGACTCCACGGGTGCCTCCTGCTTGTCCGGTCTATACTGTGCACCTAACAATGGGAGGTACTTAGGGATCAACGTAATTTTCAGACCTGGTCCTTTTAATCAGCATAACTTTTGTACTTAGAAAGAAACTGTAGAAAGAACTTTTCAAGATTGCTACCAGAAGATTAAAGAGCTGCTGTTGCTGCCCCAGCAGCAGTTTTGTTTACTTTGTTCTTCTTTGCGGCCCTGGAAGAGCGACCTTTTGGGAAGTGACTTTCGTTTCCAGCTCCGCAGACCCTCCTTTCCATCATCCTCCCCTCCTCCCTCCCTCTCCCCTCTGGGTCCTGTGGCCCGGAGGAGGGGACAGGGCACACAGGACCGCGGAGCGGCCGTCCGCGGGCACCCCGGCTCCCACTTGTGGACCGGCAGCCCGTCCTCCCCAGAAAGCCCGGGCTGGGAGCTGGCCTGGGGGACGACGTGGCACGGTCGTCGCAGACCCGGGTCGCACCCAGCGCCCGCCCGCTGGAGCAGGATGGGCGCAGACGCTCCGCAGGAAGATGGACAGGAAAAGCCCCCAACTCCCGTCTCTGCAGCCGGCGCGCTGTCCCTCCTGTCTGTGGCTTAGCTGGACGCCAAGTCCCAGTCGCCGAGTCTGTCTGTACTGGCGCGGCTGCAGCCGGGCCCGCGTCTCCGAACCCTCCCTGACTGCGTAGCTGCGCAGACCGTGCCATGGGGTGCGGGCTCAGGAAGCTCACGGACCCCGAGGACAGCAGCCCGGGAAAAATCTTTTCCACCCTCAAGAGACCACAAGTGGAAACAAAGACGGACGTGGCTTACGAGTATGTGCTGCTGGATTTTACCCTGCAAGGTAAGCACCGCGCTCTGTGATTTGCTAAATGTTTCCAAAGTAAGAGCTGCTCGTTTTTTGGAAGTGTCCGCCGTGAGTTCCCAAACTGCCCTTCCTATCCACGTTGTAAACTCCATCTGACAAGCACGCTTTGTTCTTTTGGCAGAGGGGGCAAGGTTTTTGTTTTGTACCATGGTTTGTGGGCATTTTACAGAATTAGGAAAACTACTCGGGAATGCCCTCTCTGGGAAACCAAGCAGTCGTGGAAGGGTTTGGAAGAGGCTTGGTTTGCAGGCCAGAGGGCTGCGGCTCGGTGACAGCTTGCGACCTGGAAAGGGCTCACAAGGCGCAAGGCGGTGGTCCCGGAGGCCGCGCCACCGGTGTCAGAGGTGGGCGAGTCGGCGGCTCTGCGGTGGCCGGCTCTTTGGGGTTTTGTGACTGTGCTACTCGCTTATTTTTGACCAATCTAAACTTCAGCCTGAAGCTACAGCTTAGAAAGAAGGGCACGGCAGCGGGCTGTGAGACACTGCGCCGGCACCGCCCGCTCTAACAGAGGAACTCTGTCCCAGAAATTCGGAATGCACATAAACAAGTCCAGATGGCCCTGAGCGAGCAGGCGGGCGGGCGGGTGGGCGGCTCACGCATACCTTGACTCGCCTCCTCTGGGAACTGGGAGTCTGGACACTGCGCCCGACAAAACCCCTTTCAAGAACTACATCGCTATTTGCCATGCGCAAAAAATGAAATTGAGGTAGTTTGCCCGCTGCAGAGACTTCCAGATACCCGGATTTTAAGGACTGTTGCACGTTTACAGTTTTAACTCATAAACCCCACTTTGGGTTGGGACACTCTAATCAAAGCACCGCGCTGACAGAGGCTGGATTCTGTTCCAGCTTGAACACAAATTCTGCTTCATTCCTCTTCCTCCTCCTCCTCCTCCACCTCCTCCTCCTCCTCCTCCTCCTCCTCCTCCTCCTCCTCCTCTCCCTCCTGCTCTTCTCCCCCCACCCCCCCACCTCCACCCCCCACTCCTTCCCTCCTGTCTTGTTGCCCTGCTGTGGAAACAGTACATCTTTGTGCAAGAAGCCAGCACCACCCGTTTTTCTTTGTCAAAAATTGAGCTGCGGGCACACAGCTCCCTCTCCGGGGCAGGAGTCCACGCAGGCCACTCCTCCACTTTCCACTGGTCCACACGCTGCCTTGCAGCTGAGGCCACCAGAGGGAAGACAAAGTCAAGGTTCTTAATTTGCTTTTTACCATGATAACTTCAGATGGGTTAAGACAGCTGTGCTAGTAAGAAAAGCAACCAAACAATCATGAATTTTTTCTGTACTTTCTCTAAAAATAATATCATCACTTGGAAAAATAAAAACCTGGAAGCCTGGAATCCAGGCCGAGCCACACGGCTGCGCCGCCACCCCGTGGCCAGGGGCTGTGGGAGCTGCAGGTCTCCTGACTCGTTTTCTTGCAGGATGCAGTCTTGGGCGGACAATGGGCAGCTCTTCCACGGCCCTTCACCTGGGGCCCCCAGGGGCCAGCCGAGGCCTTGAGGGTGGTCACCTTTGTGGGTGAAGGTGTGTTGTTGGGGGTGTCTTCCGCTAAGTCAGTGGTTTCCAGAGGCCACAGGGGTTGGGGGAACCCTGTCATGCCTGTCCCGTCCTGTCCCCGTGTCGGGGTGCCCCTTTTCTATCTTGAACACATCCTTTTCCATTCATTCTCTTTCTCTCTTCAGTGCCCAGGGCCACAAGTGCATTTCAGGGTGCGTCCCGCGAAGCTTGCGGGCGGTGCGCACTTGTGGAGATTGCAGCGGCACTCTCATCTGAATGCCGTGCATTCCAAGTGTCCCAGGGGCTGTGAGGGTGAGTCGTGAGGTTGAGTCGCTGTCACCTCTGCCTCCACCCGAGAAAGGCTGGCTGCTGTCTGTCCCTGGGAGGCCGCTCTATCTGCAGCATGGGACATGAGTGCCTCCGTCCTCCTTCACACCAGCTCTTCAGAGACTGCTGGCGCCACTTAGACCCGTCCTGTGTCTGTCCCCCTAGCTCATACTCATTGTCGTGACCTCTGTGTTCTTGCCAAGGCGGTGCACTTTCCCTCATCTCGCCACAGCAACTCGTGTGTGACCTGCCACTGGGTGGATGGGTGTGTGGCATGGTGTTTCACGGACTCTGGAAGAAACCACAAATATCACTCCTTCCTTGAGGATGCCTGAAGTCCCAACCCGTGGGCGGGATGGTTCTAGAGCTCTACAGCAAGGCTACCAACTGCGCTGAGGGAGGGGAGTTTGGGACTACTTGGGGGGCTTCTGGATTGTTCTTCTGATCCCTTTCACCACGCTGTGGTAAGGCAGTAGCTCACTGACAGCTTTGGCTTTGGCTCAGCAGTGAGCACTGACGCTGTCCCAAAGTTCCTACTGTGCATCTGTCTGCAGGTCTGTGAGCCCATGCAACGAACTTGAGTAGAGCACTGTCATAGAATCCCTCAGCACAATGTTACATTGACTGTAACGATACAAACTCATTAGTGTACCTTCACATTCTGCCCTAGAAACCAGTCTGAATGCTGACCGCCTTGGTGTGAAAGGAGCGTCTCTAACACTAAAGCCCACCAAAAGGGTGGGTGGCAGCTTTCTGATTTGAATTTGTGGTATGATCCCATAAAGAGATGCTGAGTAAAGCTGCTGGCTTCGAGCTTGTTTCACTGTCTGTCTCCCATCACGGCCTTTAACAGCAGTGTGACTGTGTGCATTGATTACCCTGGGAATGCAGAGGAGTGAGACAGCTGCCTTCCCGCTCCTGTTGGTCAGATGGAGCCAGATGCTGGGTGCTGAGGCAGGAAGCCCTCGCCCTCTCTGGGGATGGCGCAGGGTTTGCATGCGGCTGTGGGCAATGTGTTTCTGAGTGTGTGGGTAACCCGTGATGGGTGAGGCAAAGGCGACACCATAAGGTGTGGCTGCAGGAAATGGAACACAGCCACAAGCAGCAGAGAAAGGAGAAATCAGATCTGAGTAGGTGCAGTGACAGGCAGGCAGGGCCGCAGTGCAGGTCGCAGAGAACCTTTTGGTGCCTGGACCCCTGCAGACACCCAATGGGAGTCACATGTCCCGAGCAGAGGCAATGTGGTGGCTTAGGAGAGCCCAGTACAAATGGTTGAAGATGCAAAAGTGCACCCTTAAAGACAGAGAGCACGCGCAGAGCACAGTGCTGCGGGTGCTCAGGGCTGGGGCCAGACCTTGGGCAAGCCATGAAAAGAACAACCAAGCAAACTGCCTGGTGTGGGTAGAACTCAGCACTGCAGTACCAACAGAAGGCACCTTGGGCGGTGAGCCACGCCGAGTCGGAGGTGGCCCCTGGGCTGCAGGGGCAGCGGCAGGGTGCTGGCCCCGCTTAGGGCAAGGGCTTTGTCTCCCACGGGCTGGTCTGAAATCCACCTGTGCTTTCCATCCCTTCTGTGTGTTTTACATCCTCCTCCCCGAGAGGAGAGGCTTGGAGCAAGAGTAGGACAGTGGTATCTGTGACAAGGCCAAGCGTAACCATGTCGAGGCCCAGCAGTGAGAGGCCTCACCCTGCCTGGAAAACCACATGTGACACGGGCAGCGGAGGTCGGACCATGTGGGACATGTGAAGAGGAGGCACGGTGACAGCTTGTGCCACCTGAACTAGGGCCCTTGAGGGTCAGTAGAGCCTCCTGATAGAACCACAGCAATATTTGTTCAGGCAAGAAGGTTCACGAGTGACTACAGAGGACCCAGAGATGCTGCGTAGGTGGCAGTTTGCATCTCTAGGTTACTTAGAACATTCGGTAAGTGGAGTAAGTCAGACCCTCTCCCTTGAGTACCCATGCGTTAAGGTGCCAGCAGTCTGCCATGGTCTAAAGCCTGCACCTGTCTCCCATCTGAATATGCATAAATCCTGGCATAGTGTGAGGAAGAGGCTGCGCTCTCCTGTAGGCACCGCAGCGCCCTGGCCCTCGAGTACTGTCTGGGCCCAGCCTTGGCCTCAGCTTTGCTAGCTGCGTGGGCGAGTTGTCTAAGACCTCTCTGTTCCTGCGTGTCCACACTGGAGAACAGTGGCAGCGTCTGCCCTATCGGATCTTCACGATGATGAAGAATTGGACATGAAGCCCTCAGACACAGCACACCCTGAGCGTGCAGTCAGTGCATGTTACTACCCACGTAACTGCTAGATAAATAGGGAGGTTGATCGTGTGCTTCCCTTTGAACATGTGGCAAAATTACTTGCTAATGGTTGCATGTTGTACTTTGGTTTTGGGGAACAGCGGTCCATAAATATTTCAAAAATACACAGCCAGGGGCCAGGGAGATGGCTCAGTAGAATAGGCGCTTGCCTGGCAAGCGCAAGGGCCTGAGTTCAATCCCTGGTTCTGCAAAGAAAAAAAAGAAAGAAAGAAAAGAAAATACACATCCATCTTCAGGAGTGAGTTGGGGGAAGAAATAAGCGTGTCTTGGGCTGTTTCCCAGAGCTGCATCAGCAGAGTGAAACTTCTTCCCACTGAACCAGCATGAACACACTCCCTGCTGCCTGCCTGGACTGATCAAGTGGGGGCAGAAGCAGACTGGGAGGCCATCCTGACTCAGCCCTCTGCCAAGGCATAGAAAGTCCAGTGGTGGATTGTTTACACAGCCCTATGGGGTTCTGCGGTGGCAGGGGCTTGATGGCCACACAGACCCTGCCCCCACCCCTTGAGTCTGCCAGGGGCCCAGGGGTTAAGACAGCAGCCAGGAGCCAGGGATGTAGCTCAGCGGCACAACAGCCTGAGTGGCAAGCACAAGGTCCTGAGTTTGATTCCTGGTATTAAAAAAAAAATAGCAGGCAGGCCCAGCCGGCCAGGCGTCCATACTCTCAGGGCTCAGACCCCACTGTAGACCTGGCCACACACTGTGTGGGTGACAGGTTCCATGCACAGCTCAGGGTCCTGTAATCCCAGCACCTTGGGAGGCTGAAGCTAGAAGAACACAAGTTCAAGTTCCACTTAGACAACTTAGTGAATCCTTGTCTCAAAAT